CTTGAAGAGTTTAAATTTCCAAAAACGGTAATCTTCCTAAAGTAATTCGAATGAAAGAGCCAACCAACAGTCATTATTGATTTGTGTTGCAAATTTACATTGTCAAGGAATATATGTGATATTATATAACAACATAAGAAAAAATGGTATTTGTAAAATACCAAATGGATTACAGGTCCATTAGCATTAAGATGCATGACATAATGGGAGCACTGGGAAGGAGTCCCAGGATATAGCTGAACTTAAAATTTACCTTGAGGTGTTTCTACTTGATTTCATTCTGTTGAATTGAGATTGTTGCAAACTCAATAAGTCAATAATAAATGTAACCATTGTCAAACACTGATGGATTCAAAAAAGTGAATTCCCACCCTATAGTTAACGGTGCCTGGGGAAAGTAGATGTCTGGTCAGAGGATGGGGAGAAACGCCTTCTGATCACGTGGTAAAGGACAGTGATGATGTTCACTGAAGGGGGCCTCCCCACTCCCAGGGGCATGGAAATATGTGAATAATTAATAAAGAATGCACAGTAGGGAAAGGGTTTTATAATAAGGGCTCATGTCTAGGGAGGCATTTAGAGTACTACCTGGATGGCAGTGTGTGGGCATGGGGGAAAGAGCGAGAAAGGTGATATGAGTTAAAAACAAAACCCTGATGTGTGAAGGAAGAGGGTCAAACTTCCTTTCTTCCTTCCTTCTTAGTGAGATCAGGTTTAGATGTATTGTGTGACTTGGTTCCCTGGTTGGGTTTATACCAAATGAAGATAAGAATTTTACTGAGCCACTAGCATTAATATCTTTAATATGATGTTCCCAGACCATAGAAGAAGGAATTACAATTATGGCAGAAATGGTCTTGTATTCAGTAGTCATTTAACAGATAAACACTTAGCCTAGGTGCTAACTCAACCAGGAAAATTTTTATGAATCCAATTCATTGTTTCTTTTTATAGCTTAAACATAAAGAAATAATGTGAAAATCTAAGCACTGTGATCTTACATAGTGACAAATGACTATGATACTGATAATAGGTCTTGCTCCAAGTACTAGGGACTTTGCTGATAATCCCATTTCTTAATGGGACCATAGAGAGAAAAAAGAACAAGGGATATATAAACACTGAGATCTCATGAATTGACTAAAGGGAATGTTGCCAACTCTACAATGCCAGGCTATAATTATTTTCTTTTCTAACTAGAATCCTCTTAACTTCCTTACTCCATTCATGGTGGAAATATATATATATATATACTTTCTAAATTTTCTAATATTTTCTAAATTTTCTAAAATTTCTTTAAATAATTAATTGCTTTTCCTAAACATTTAATAACTGGGAAAATGCTTACAATCTAATCTTAAGTGGAAAAGAAAAAGAATACTCATACAAGGCATAAATATACAAATATTTTTAAACAGATCTCATACTGGTTTTATTTTATAATAATCATGCACTATTTTATAATTAATAATTAATTTATATACTAAAATATTTTATATATAATCATTTATATCATTATATAATGTTATCTAATGAAATTTTTAAAAGATATTATCAGTTTTCCTTTCGGAAAATTGTAAAAAAGTCATCAATCTGCATCCATTTTAAAAGAAATCTTTATTTGAATGGCAAACTTTATGTCTACTTCTAAAATATTTTGTATTCCATGCTCTATTTATAAATATAATAAAATAAATAGCTGGCACACATTTTTAGATAAGAACTATTCAAAAAGTGCTCATACAAGGAAATTTATCTTCATTTTAAAAATGAAGTCATTCATTTTAAAAATGTTCTCATGTTAAGTCTTCTGGTGGTTTTCATATTTTGCAGTAACTCAAAGATATATAAATAAAGAGGTAATTATCCCTTATACTCTTTTCTTTTTCTTATTTAAGATCTATTTGAAAAGTATTTCATGACTATAACAAAGAGAAGAGTGTTGGCATTAAAAATTCTTCTAAAGATTTCAACATCTATGGTCTATACACAATGCCCAGAATTTTCAATAAATAGGCTAATCATTTTCTCATCAGTGCATTTTTGTTCTATCACTTACCCACTCCCACTAAATCACTTGTCAGTTCAGAATAAGGGCAGGATTGAGGACTGGACTCATGGCTAGAAAGAAAAAACCTAAACCTGCATTCATCCTAACACTCCGTCTTTGTTTTTTTTTTTTTTTTTAGTGTGCATATACCTTTTATTGAGAAGAATATGTTTAGGAAAGCCAAGAAAAGAGTCCAAACACTTGATTGACTTTGAGGTCCTCATCTTGTCTAGTGGCCTGTGTGCTCCGTAATTGTAAATACTGGGACTTGGAGTAATTATGTGGCTAATGGGGGAAGGTAAAAATAACGACTAAGAGTTCAAATTTGGATAACAGAAAGACTCAGGTTCAATTTAAAATTCTGACATTTACTGTGTGACATTGGAATGTTAGTTAACCACTTGAGGTCTTCTATTTCTATCTGTAAAATGGGAATAATAATAGTACCAACTCAGTGAGTTGTTCTGAGGATTAAATGGAATGATGCATGCAAAGCATTTAGCATTAGTGTAGACACATAGCTGAGTTTTTTGTTGTTGTTATTTTAGAAAATGAATTTTATTTATTTATAAAAATTATAAATTTTAATAAATTGCAGATTATTCTTTCCTAGTATACAGAAATATAACTGATTTTTGTCTTTTTTGATCCATTTTATGAAGGTTAATTCTTTCCAAGAGCCCCTACCTTCCTAGATATGAAATTAATATATCTTCCTTCGTATTTATCTCTTTCAATAGTCTACTTAACTTACTAGAAGTTTCAAGGGATGACATGTAGAGTCACATAGGAATCATACTGAAATACACACAGTACCCAAGTAAGGCTGGATAATTTTTGTGATTCTGATATATAAAAGGGCACACTAATCCTTGGACGTATCAGTGGAAGACTTAGAGTATGAAAATATTAAGATTGCCATGAAACCTATTGATTTACTTTTCCTAAAACCATTCAGTAATGGTTCTGAATAACAAATGACAATATCCATCTTGAAATTAAGGAAGGGTAAAGAGAGTTAGAAAGCATATATGGAAGAAATATATACATGATTAAAATAACAATTTAAAAGGAAGTATATGTTTTAATTTTTAAAAATAACATTGTCTATTAGGTTCCAAAAGTTTGATTCACCATCTTCAAACTGGGAATGAAATATAATATTTGTAATTTATTCTTGGTTGTATTTTATTTTTAATCTGGATGTACTTCAGAAAAAAAAATCTTCATTTTTAAGTTACTTATGTATTTTCCTCCCAATAAAGTTTCTCAAATATATCTTAAGGTAAAACTGAAATACTAGAACTAGTCAACCATCTCTTTTTATGCACAGGAGTAAAATTCCCCTCATACTATTTCCTTAAAACAATAATGTGGATATAAGATATTTTCAAATTCTAGTAGGTTATTTTTCTCATTAAAAGAAAATAAATGTCTTTTTTTTTTTTTCCTTTCCATTAGAAGGTTGGTGCCTAGAGGGTAACTATGATTTCTTCACAGTCTCTATGAAGACACTCAATTTGTATTACTAAATCTTTTAAGGGAAGAAAAACACAAAAATTTCCTTTATTTTGCTACAACATTAAAAACATACTTTGAAGCCCCATTGAAGCAATTAATGGAAACATTACAATCATAATAGAAAAAACTTTTCCACACATCAGGATAGAGGATGTTTCTGCTTATAAAATTTCCATTTAGAATGACTTTTTTTTTTTTTTCTTTTTTTTGCCCTGCGGGCCTCTCACCGCTGCGGCCTCTCCCATCGCGGAGCACAGGCTCCGGACGCACAGGCTCAGCGGCCATGGCTCACGGGCCCAGCCGCTCCGCGGCATGTAGGATTCCCCCAGACCGGGGCACGAACCTGTGTCCCCTGCATCGGCAGGCAGACTCTCAACCACTGCGCCACCAGGGAAGCCTTAGAATGACACTTTTTAATGACCTAGGAAACGTAAATATTGCCAAAGTGCTGGGCTATTTACTAAATTGCAGCAGTAACTTTGTCTATAGAAAATAGATTGAATGAGAATATATCAGACATTTATAATTTGTTAAATAGTACAGCATAAACTTACCTGGTCCTATAAGGTGGCCAGTAGCTACATTTGGCTACTGAGAACTTGAAATGTGACTAGTCTGAACTAATAAGTGAAGTGTCAAATGCACACCAACTTTCAAAGACTTAACAGAAAAAAAGAATGTAATATATTTCAGTCATAATTTTTATAGTGATTGTTTAAACAATGGCATTTTTGATACAATGGGTTAAATAAAATAAATTAATAATATTGAAATTTACCTTTTGGTGTATGTTTTTTAACATAACTATTAGAAAATTTTAAATTATGTATGTACACTGCATTAGATTTTCATTGGCAGAACTGGTATAAACAACTAAAGTTACATAAAATGTACCCTTCTTTTACAGTTTAAACATTAGTCTAGTTTCTAGGTTCAAAACCAAGACTTGAAAATAACAAGTGTGATTATTGGTGAATTCTGAACCTTAAAGAGTAAACTCAAGGGAAATTTTAGTGGGATGTAAGTCATTTATATGACATCAGATATCAGAAACCAACATGATGAAGAGTAATCATATACTGGTAGTTAAGAAGGATAACTTTCAGGTTAATGTCTTCTTTTCAGTCTTTAATTTATCCTATATATAGCAGTAATTAATTTTAGCGAAATCCCCTACATTGTAGTTTTCTGACAATAGTTGTAATGCTTTTGAGATACTTGGATAAAAGTTAAATTTGCCACATAAAATTGATTTAGAAAATTGTTAATTGAATTATTGGCAATAGTACTTTTTTTTTTTGGCAATAGTACTTCTGATATCATGCCTTTAACATTAATAACTAAACCGAAGTTTGGATCCAGAGGACTCAATAATTTATGCAATATTACTTAGAAACACACAAACTGATCTTTAAGTGGGTATTCATACCGTCATAAATCCATCCAGCAAACCTGAGTCGGGTTTCGGAGGTGCCTGCAACCGTTCCATAGACCACTTTTCAATGATGGAGGAGACTTGGGTATTTTCTGTATTTAATATTCTGAACCCTGTCATGTTAACGCCACTGTATCGGTAGGGCTCTACATCAAGAGCGAAGAGGTCCTAAAAGACAAATTTCTTTGTGTTAGTATCAAGAGAGAATATTCATAGGCAAGTATAATTGAAATAATCATGTATTCCTGCTTGCTTTAGGTTACTTAACACCACTGTGTCTCAAGTGATGTTCAAACATCACCAATCACCAAGATTCAAATACACTATCCTCATGTTTTGCCAATGCAAATATATATACACTCTACATAAACAAGTACATATATATATTATTCCAGTTCCACCAGTGGAACAACAGGCTTTTCTACAACCTACCTTTAAGGTTTGCATAAGCTTTCTTCTCTATGTTAGGGATAGCTTGCCCTTAAATTTTATGCGTTACTCTTTTATATTTAACTGATTATAGGTGTTTTCCCATGTCTTGCTTCCTTGACTGGTTATTGCCATTTTTGTGTTATTTTGCTTTGTCTTTCTTCTTTTGTTTTTAAGAAACAGATCATGAAATATAGCTTCTAACTAATGAAAATTATATCAAAGCTGAGGAAAAAAGTTAACAAAACTGGCCTTATTGGTTACAAGAACTCTTGTAGTTCTTTTGTCTTATACCCTATCTAGCAACTCCCCCATAAGGAACACTTCAGATTTTGGTTGCCCTTTCTACTCTATATATAGTGAGTGCTCTGGATTTGCCCAGGAGATAGGAGGCCAAAGCTGTCGGGGCAGTCGGATGTCACTATGAGAACATGCAGCATGTGGGACTTTTGCCCCCATTGAGTTGGCATTAGCTATTCCTTAGATCTTACAGACAACATTGAGAACTACTGAGAGCCAGGGCGAGATCAATGCCATTAGTCCTGGGCACAGCTTGCTCATACAGCTGTACCGACTAGATTATAGAAGCAAAATTCAGTGAAGAGAAGCTGACGTTGGCCTGAGCTCTATTCTGTGCTGTGAAAAATATAAGGAACTTTTAGGTTTTTAGTTTTCAACATTTGCAATCTAGCCAAGGAGATTATCTCTCTCTCTCTCTCTCTGGCTACATATATATATAAAAAATGTAGTACAATATATGCTAAGGGGCAAAAGAGTACAAATGATAAGTGCAAAGAGTCAGAAGCAAGACAAATGATTTTCAATTTTTATAGTAAAGAACAACTTCACAGAGCAGATGGGATCTGAGCTGCCATTAAAGAATGGCCATGCTCTTGATAGTCAAAAGACAAAAGGAAACCAAAATGTCAGTAGAGATACAAAAATTAGAAAATATAAAGTCTACTCAGGAGACTGACCTAAATCAGTTTGGCTATAAGAGAATTCATGAGGGAGAACAGTGGCAAAAGAAAATAGGAAAGTTAGGTTAGAATCAAACTGAAAAGGACCTTCAATTATAGGCTAGATGAGTCCTACATATACTAAACTAGTTTTTTTTTCCATTTTTTTCCTTATTAAGAGATGCTTTCGATTTCCCTAAAATCTTATGATTATGGTAGAACTGAGTTTCAACAGCATTGAAATATAATTTGCTGACGAGTGAAGGCTTCCACTCACTCTCCACCAGCCCATCACTAAGTTTCTCACAGACTGCAAAAAAGTTGCCTGGTGGGAAGTGATACAGATATACAGCAGAGTTAGCCTTAGTATTTACCAGTAAAATACAACCTACTGTGTGAAGCATCTTCATTGAAGAAGAGTTGTTTTTACAAGAAGCTATTGTGATCAATTTAGATTTAAAATTTAGTAATTTAGACCAATTACTAAATTTTAGTAATTTAATCTGGTAACTTCAAGACTCCTAAAAGCAAAGAGATCAATTGGAAAACTTTTGAGTTAACAAAGAGAGAGCATTGGTTAGACTGGTCATTGTGGGAAAGGAGAAGATGCATACTACAGACACTATGGAGAAAAAATCAGTGGCATTTTGTTGGGGATACAGGAGTTAGAGACAGTGGAAGTTTTGAAGGAAGAGTCAGAAGATGAGTCACTTCAGAGGACAATACATTAAGGTTTAAATAACTTGAAATTATCTTAACGCCACAACGATTAGAAAACGTTCTGCAACGCAGCGATATACAACAATTCAGGAATATTACAGATAGACATTTAGATCTCATTTGAACAAAGGTCATAATTGAAGCTGTAAGTACATACCAGTTCTGAAGAAAATAATTGAAGAGGAAAAAAGAAAATAAGATACATGCCCAAACTTGGAGATACTCTCATATTGGGGGGATGGGCAGGAAATAGTGACAGAGACAGATAGCTGTTTCACAGTGGAAGGAAAACTAGGATAATGTATTGGTAAAGAAATAGAGCTAAGGGTAAGTAGGTTTGATAAAAAAAAAAAGAATGTCAGATTTTCACGCATATTGAGAAAAAACTGTAGTGGTTACGTAAAGACAAAAGATAAGGGTAACATTCAATTTGCTAATTGCAAATTAAATCATATTTACTTAAAAAAATCCAACTTAACATATGCAAAAACAGAATAGGAAATTTAATCTACTAGAGGAGCAGCTTCAATAAACCTGATTTCGGTTAAGTCAATAGAGCTAACAGCAGAAGAATTTGTGCTTTTCTAAAACATTGATTTCTCAGCAAACTAATTTTAAAATCCATTATGTTCTGAAAGTCCTCTAAGCGATATAAAAATAAGACATTATTTTGAATTAATATCTGAAACGATATTATTTCAAAATCATCAGCTTCCCACCAAGAATCATTAGATCTCTATGATGATAATTCCTCTTGGGTTTTATCAAAATAAAATAAATCATAACTTTAAAAGTGCCAGTATTATATTACTTCTTCCCACTCAAAAACCCATTTTTCATCCTGAAATTCATTATAAGAAAATTTAGAGCATTATCTTTATGTTTTAATAAATTACTTACCAGTGTGGTAAAGATGTAATGATAATATTCTGTCATCATTCCCATAGCTAATGCCTAAGAAGTAAAAAATAAAAATATTAAAATATTAATATTGAAGGTACACGTTAGATGAAATACATTATGTCAATAAGACAAGTGAGATGAAAATAGCAGAATGTAATGAAGAATCAGCCTATAGTATTCAGGTTACATTAAAATTGGGTCAAACTAAATCTTTTTTCCATAGTTAAAGAAGATTAGTGGTTACAAAGGAATTTCTGAACCAATTCTCTTGATAGAAAAGCTATTAATTGAATGTTTGCAATTGTAAAGCTTATGTTTTACATATTAAAAGAGGCATTAAATTTGAAACAAAACTTCAAATGAGCAAATCTTAGTTCATTATATTTGTAATATCTTCACTACAAATTCCATAATAAGGAACACCATTTTATTTTGTTGAAAAGTATTACTCAATTAGGAAAACAGTGCTCCAAAGTACAATACCAACAGGAACTTTTTTTAGCATTTTAGAGATGTTTTCTTAGTATTAATGAAGCAAATGTAAATCACCACTGTACAGATAAAGGCAAGTTTATTTTTTATTAATGAACAATTGAAATTTACTATGTTTTATTTCACACTTCTAAAGTCCTCATCAATTTTAGACTATCAGTCTTAAAACAAGGACTTTTGGGTTAGAACTCCCAGTCATAAGAAGTGTCAATTTCCTCTCTGAAAATACAGAATCCTTTAGAAATAGCTATTTATCAGTGAACAGTAGCTGATGATGATAATTGAAAAATGATGCATTTTTGAGCTGAATGAAGAGCTCTTAGTAGGAAACAAGTATTCTCAGGTGCATCTAATATTCTTCCACAAACTACTAACTACTCAAATTGGTTTACTAAGTAGCTGCCCCAGCTACATCCTTTGTATTCCATACCCATAGGTAGGTATTAACCAATTAGCTACAATAAAATTTGTATTTCCACAGCATTAGCTGTTCAGTAAGAAAAGATAGATGTTTGTGAAAAATTTTGGGATATATGAAATGTATTTTTTTTACAGGGAGAAACATTTGTCAATGATAGGTAGCATCAAAGAATTGAGCAGAGGAAAGGAACTTAGGAATTGTGATATTGTAATTTATAATAAGAAATATGTATTTGGTCTTCATCCCATTTCTGGCACAAAACTCCAGATACTCTTAGAATTTCCCAAACAATAAAAGCAATGGGAACATCTTTGTTATAATATTTGGTTTCTTTTCTTCACTTCCTGAAATTGCTTCAGAGCCATAAAGGTGAAATGGGTGTCTTGTTATTCTTAGCAAGCCCCTTTCAACCACAACTGAGTTTATGTCAAATGAGGTGACTTTGGAAAATCCCCTAAGATGGGAGGGTGGGTGCTGGTTGCCAGGGGAAAGCAATCTCATGAAGGTTGAAACTTTCAGTTCTACCCTGGTGACCTCCTGGGAAGGAAGAGGGGCTGGAGACTGAGTTCAATCGCCATGGCCAATGATTTAATCAATCATGCCTATGAACTGAAGCCACCAGAAAAACCCAAAAGGAGAGGATCTGGAGAGCTTCCAGGTTGGTGAACATGTGGAGGTGCGAGGAGAGTGGCATACTCAGAAGGGTCGAGGAAGCTCCTTGCCCTTTCCCTGTATCTTGCCCTATGCATCTCTTCCAATCTGGCTGTTACTGAGTTACATCCTTTCATAATAAACCGGGAATCTAGTACGTAAAATGTTTCTCTGAGTTCTGTGAGTTGCTCTAGCAAATTAATCGAACCTAAGGAGGGGGTTGTAGGAACCTCCAATCTATAGCCGGTGGGTCAGAAGCACAAGTGATTACCTGGACTTGTGGTTCATGTCCGAAGTGGGGGAGGTGGGGAAACAGTCTTGTAGGACTAAGCCCTTAACCTGCAGAATCGGATGCTACCTCTGGATAGATGCTGTGAGAACTGAATTGGGTTGTATGACAATGTGCTGGCATCAGAGCACTGCTTGTGGTATGGGGAACACTCCCCCCACACAAAACTGAATTGGATGTACAACTTTTAGGAAACAAATAATATTTCCTGAATGGATAAAAATTACATGAGCCAATAACTCTCTGATAAATTTACACTTAAGCAAAATAAGAGAAAATTTTTCTTATTAAATAAAAATTTACAAGATTATCTTTGTAGAAGGTATTCATTGTTCCTGATGGATATGTGTTAAAGGTCTCGCAACTTCAGAACTACTCAATGAGAGTTCAGCATTACCCTTGTCGATATTTGTTACTTTACCAACTCAATAGGCATAGAAATATCGATTGGGATAAATGAAAGAAACAGCGATTCAGATGTATAACTATAAATAACACTTACATAATGCCTAAAAAGTGCTGGGTACTATTCTAAGCACACTGCACATCTTAATCAATTTAGGCCTCATTAAAAATCCTATGATGTAGGTCCTGTTATTATACTTATTTTACAGGTGAAGAAACTAAGACATAATAAGAATGAATAAATTAGTCAACAAATTGAGACAGTGAGTGAAAATAAACTCCAGGTCTCTAACTCTTGGAGCTTGGATATAGAGCATAATCTATGCCTTTTATAAAGTGGCATATTTTATATTCCCAAAGATACAGATCCATTTAGGATCTATACATTCTAAAATTTTGGCTGTTTCCTCCTTGATAATTCGAAAACCTGGGAATCTCAGCCCAATCCTGGAAATTGTGTTTTGGAGGCGAGCGTGGGAGGTGGTTAAGAAAATGGTGTTCTGCACCAGCCCCAGGTTTCTTCTTCATTACGTTGAAAAGAAACCTTTAAGGGATAACTGAGGACTGTGTGAGCATTTCACTGACCTCCCTTCAGTCTTTGATTCTGAAAACAAGAGTCAGTATGGACTACGAACTTAGATCTAAGTAGAAAAGTTTAGTTATTTTTGATGGAGTACCTATACTCTAACATGAACAAAAGTGAACAACGGGGATACTCTCTTGAAAGGTGAGTTAATAATTTCCAATGGGAATTAAAAAAGAACTTGTTCTGGACCTTCTTTTAATTATAGCATTTATGTCTTGCTACTAGTGCTTCTGAATTATTATCTTCTTGTGTATAAATAAGAGCGGCCACAAAAGAAATCTGCTTGTGCCACGTCACCCCTCCTGGAAAGAAATACCACAGAATAATTTTTTCCAAAATCAAAATATTGTTAGAATTTCCCAACATTTAACTGATGTAGTGTTAACAATGCCATATGACAAATTAACACATGCGGTTATCCAGGCATATAATTTGCAACCAGTTTATCCTTCAGGTTATATCTGGACGTTACATTGCTTAAGGTTAACAATTGGAGGAGTTAGACTTTATACGTATTTCTTAAAATTTTATTATATTTTACTTCTTGCTGCTGTAGCAGTTTCTTTGTATCTGCTTTTACATTTTTCCAGGCTAAAAATTTGATTTCACACTCTTTGATATGGACTTTAAAGTTCTTGGTTGTTATTCTTTTTCTGTGATAGAATGTCTTCGTGAGACTTTACTCCACAGCATCCTGGACCTGCCATGGAGGATTCTCTTTGACAAATCTCAGTAGAGGTGGGATCTTTTGCTATTAAGACATGTATGCCAATGAGTGCCCTTGATTTGCCTCAGAGGATATCTAGCCAAGCCCAGGCTTCACTCACTTTTAAAGCTCTCAGGCAGGAAAACTTCAGATTCATGGTTGCTCGCTATTTAGTAAGAGCTCAGTCAGTTTAAATAAAACAAACAAACATCTCTTTTTCTTGATACTCCTAATATTTATTCTTGGATTAAGCCAGACAAGCTGAAAGCCCATTTGTGTCTTATCTTCAAATCTTGTACCATTTCTTTGGAGTGTCATCATTAGCCAACATTGAGGAATCTCAGAAAAAATTCACAAATCATAAAATGGAGTCCTATTAAATGTACTGCTGCAGTTACAAAAAAGAAGCTGTTTACTTTCTTTTTGAATTGGTTTCTAGAGTAGCTAAGATCCAAATATGAGATAAATGCTCTCTGGGACAAGGTAAGTTTTTAAAAAATCCCACCATATGTGGTCTGCCAGTGTTACAGGATCAAAAAACATGCATTCTGTGCAATAGTGTTACTCTGACTTCAACTTAACTTTCATATTCTCATTTCCCCTCCGTTCTGATTTTTCACCTATTAATCTTGTTAAAATTATATAATTTTACTGTTGTGTATATTTTAGATACTACTTTAATTCTGTTTTCGTTTTGCAAATAGCAGGTTACACATCAGAAAACAAGTATGAAATAAGGGATATATCAACTAGAAGCCAGAATGGAAATTCTATTATTAAAGGTGATGGATACTCTCACCTTTCAAACAGCAAAATAAGTCAGAGTTAGTTACTCTAGAGACAAGACAACTGATCACCTATATACTTGTTGGAGGCCTAGAGAAAGCCTACCAAAAGCCTATTATTTGTCACTGACAAATAGTACAGCGATACTCACTCCAGGCATAAAGGAAAGGTATCCTTTCCAAGTCTGTGTATTCTAAATGTGACCAAGAATTGTTTGGTATTAAATGAAAAACAAATCCCTATTCTAGATTCCAGTGCTTACTTTATCGCATCATTTTGTTCCCAAAAAAAACCACCACCCTTATATTCTTTATTACTCAAATATAACACTAGAACAATTTTCCAAATCCAATTAAATATTTTACTGTAGTGAAACCAACATCCATATTGGAAGATTGGATAAACATCTGCTTAATAAACTAACCATGTTATAACAGGCATTTACTGTTGGTAGTTATATTTTATGAGATATAATTTGACATCTGAATCTGCATAACTCTCTAGTAGAGATATTTTATCCTACATTTGAGAGGTTTCAAGACAGGTGGCTAATCTCCAGTCAGGCAGTGTGTATAGAAGAGCTTAAAAAACAAAGTCCAAAGACTTGTGTTCAAATTCAGCCTCTACTACATAGTACAGCCTTGTACTAGCTATTTAACCCCTTACATCAATCCCCTCATATATAAGATATGAGCTAATAATAATTGTTTTCCAGTGTGCTGTTAGGCCTGAATAGTGCTGAAGTAATGGTAAGAGGTTTTACTGCTATGAATTGTTTCATTTGATTGATTTAGAATTATCTTTTTAGGTAGGCAATGCTTATTCTGAAATGAATACTTCCTAACATCACTAAGAGAAATATAAATCCCTCTGCTATTTCCTTGATCAATGATGGACATTGATCAAGCTACTTAATCTTTCTGAGACTCAGTTTCTTTGTCTGTAAAGTGGAGCTAGTCCCTACTTCATTTGGTTATGGTGATAATTAAATAAGATCAAATGTGTAAGGCATCTCAGCATACATGACAGGTAAAGAACAATTTTTTTTTCTCTTTTTCTTACTAGTTGATTTTAATGGTTGAGCTGCTTAATTGTTGATTTGAAGTTTATTCCCTCATTTCAGCACAAAACAGAAATATCTACTTCATTGATCAATATTCACATTAACAAACGGCATTTTAGCCATTTGAAAGGAACCTTGGAACTTCAATGTGCTTTAAAGATCATCAATATTTATATTACTTTTCTTTTAAGACAATTAATTAAAGTACTTAGACTTTTTATCAGAAAATCACATCAAGGTGACTTCTCTGGCTTTTTTTTTTAAAACCGACTGTGTAACAATAACACTTTGATTTAAAAAACAAAAAAAAACAGGGGACTTCTCTGGCGGTCCAGTGGTTAATACTCCACGCTTCCACTGCAGGGGGCATGGGTTTGATCCCTGGTTGGTGGGGAACTAAGATTCCCACATGCCACACAGTGTAGCCAAAAAATAAATAAATAAATAAACAAGACAAAAAGACAACCCTCAGAATGGGAGAAAATATTTGCAAATGAAGCAACTGACAAAGGATTAATCTCCAAAATATACAAGCAGCTCATGCAGCTTAATATCAAAAAAACAAACAACCCAATCCAAAAATGGGTGGAAGACCTAAACAGACATTTCTCCAAAGAAGATATACAGATTGCCAACAAACACATGCAAGGATGCTCAACATCACTGATCATCAGAGAAATGCAAATCAGAACCACAATGTGGTATCACCTCATACCGGTCAGAATAGCCATCATAAAAGATCTACAAACAATAAATGCTGGAGAGGGTGGATAAAAGGGAACCCTCCTGCACTGTTGTGGGAATGTAAACTGATACAGCCACTATGGAGAACAGTATGGAGGTTCCTTAAAAAAACTAAAAATAGAATTACCATATGACCCAGCAATCCCACTACTGGGCATATACCCTGAGAAAACCATAATTCAAAAAGATACATGCACCACAGTGTTCACTGCAGCACCATTTACAATAGCCAGGACATGGAAGTAACCTAACAGTCCATCAACAGGTGAATGGATAAAGAAGATGTGGCACATATATACAATGGAATATTACTCAGCCATAAAAAGAAACAAAATTGAGTTATTTATAGTGAGGTGGATGAACCTAGAGTCTGTCACAAGAGTGAAGTAAGTCAGACAGAGAAAAACAAATACCTATGCTAACACATATATATGGAATCTAAAAAAAGAAAAAGGTTCTGAAGAACCTAGGGGCAAGACAGGAATAAAGACGCCGACGTAGAGAATGGACTTGAAGACACGGCTTGAGAGGGACTGGGAAGGGGAAGTTGGGACCAAGTGAAAGAGTAGCAATGACATGTACACACTACCAAATGTAAAATAGATAGCTAGTGGGAAGCAGCTGCATAGCACAGAGAGATCAGCTCAGTGCTTTGTGACCACCTAGAGGGGTGGGATAGGGAGGGTCGGAGGGAGACGCAAGAGGGAGGAGATATGGGGATCTATGTATACGTATAGCTGATTTACTTTGTTATACAGCAGAAACTAACACAGCATTGTAAAGCACTTATACTCCAATAAAGATGTAAAAAAAAAATTTCAAACTCAAATTTAATAAAGGAATTAAGAACTTAAATAATTTAAAGATTACCTGTTTCAAAATGCCTGCTGCCATTTCATGGCTACAGTCAAAGATGACATGGAACTCCTTGCCTCTTTTCATTTCTTTCAGTAAGGGTTTTGCATCCTTTGTATCAGCAGGTAGTTGACGGATCTTAAGTCGAAGATTGTATCTTGATGGAGCTTTGATGAGCTCCTGCAAGCGAATGAGACCTTTAATGAAAAAGAAAAAAAATAGAATGTTACAGAAAAAACAGTGTAGTTCATAGAATCACAAAACATACCACAGTGTCTGATTTCCTTGACCATGTACATGTGTACATCATGACGTGACCATTGAAATTCCTACTTCAGAACTCCCAATCCCCAGTTATTTTTGTTAAAATCACTTCTCAAATTCTTAGGGTATTTCTCAAAGTATGAAAGACATACATGACTGTAAGTTAATGTAAATAATTTAAATAGATAAAATAATTTAAAATAAAAGTTTCCCTCTCTATCCTAATTCTACTCCCAGTGGGTTGTCACTGTTGATGGCTTGAAATATTATCCTCCATATACTTCCTATGTATTTGCACATATATACATAGAGGGTTTTTTTTTGTATTTTACATCAATAATTGTTTTGTGACAATGTCTTATAGGTCATTGTAAGTTAGTGATTACTGTTCTAGTTTGTCCAATTAAGTTTTAGTGGACATAATTTATGTAATTATTCTCTATTATTACAAACTTTGGTTATTGTTTCTTGTTTTTGTTCACAAGCAATGGTATAGTAATTTGATATATATGTAAGAGTGATATACTTTTCTTAATAAAAAGACTAAATAGCCAGAAGTGTAATTAAATTACTTTAATAAATAAAACTTTCCTTTGTATTGTTTTTATTTGTATCATTCTGTATTTCTTCAGAAATAAATATAACCACAGAAATTACTAATAAAGCAAACATTTTCCTAGAAAAGTAGCTCCTGATTATATGTTTCAAAAATATATCAAATTAATAGGTCCATTTTCAATAGGTCATTAAACTGTTATGCATTTTTAAATAACAGAGACAAATCAATGAATTTATTCCTTTATAGAAATTTTCTAATTAATGAAACCCCTTAAAAACTGATATAAAAGATCCAATATATAAGAGTATGATAAGAAAAGAAGGATCATACAATTCTATTAGCTTGGACAAAATTAAGCAATTTCCTTTCCCCTTCTCCCCTCTTCCTTCTTATTTACCCCTTTTTCCATCTCATCTTTATATTTCTAAAACTCTACTTCTATCTTTCCTGAAAAACTACCTTCATAAATATTACTATGACAAACAATAATAAAGGAAAATATTTGTAAATAACTATCTGGAACTCTCTCTCTCTCTCTCTCTCTCTATATATATATATACACACACACACACTTACTCTCTTTATTATATATATATAACTCTATTTGGAAACAGGAATTAAAAGAATCTTACTATGACTAAAACTCTACTGTGTATTAAAATAACATATGAGATATAAAGAATAAAATCTAATTCTAGGAATTTTTTTTTCATTCAGTTTTTAAATAAATAATAGATCCTCTTAGACATGTAATGCTATATACACTTTAATATGTTGCAACATAGTTAATAAAATTAACATGACTAATTTTCAGTATTTTTATCCTTGAGACATGCAAGATAAAACATATGTAAATTCATAAATATATAGTATCTTTTGCTTTTAAAATATCATCCCACCAGACTTCCCTGGTGGCACAGTGGTTAAGAATCCACCTGCCAATGCAGGGGAAACGGGTTCGATCCCTGGTCTGGAAAGATCCCACATGCCTTGGAGCAATTAAGCCCATGCACCACAGCTACTGAGCCTGCGCTCTAGAGCCTGCGAGCCACCACTACTGAGCCCACGTGCCACAACTACTGAAGCCCGTGTGCCTAGAGCCCGTGCTCCACACAAGAGAAGCCATGGCAAGCAGAAACTTGTGCACCACAACGAAGAGTAGCCCCCGCTCGCCACAACTAGAGAAAGCCCATGCGCAGCAACGAAGACCCATTGCAGCCAAAAAAATAATAATAAATAAAATTATAAAAAATTAAATGAATTCATTAAATAAAACATTGTCCCATAAAGTTTACTTCATTGTAAGTTGTTTTAAAATTTTGATATATAAAATCCTACAGACAATATATGCATAAATTACACAGTATAATACTATTAGTAAAATAAATATTACATGTTAATTGATATCAAATATACCCATTAAACATGATACAATTCAGTCTAGGGAATTATGTATATAATGAGTACAGATGTTAACACTGAACTGTACAAAGATGAAAACAAATATTTGAATTTATAACACCTGCTTAATTGTAGCAGCATTTAACACTGGGCTTATAAAATCCTCTAAAACATCTATAAAAGGCTATACATTTCTTTACATATGGGAGTACTCTGTGACTAAATTAGAATAAATTCTTAAAGGGTAGTAACATTGTTTAACTACTTTTTATAAATAAACCTGAATATAATTGCTGTAAGGCAGTGGCTCCCAAACTTTGGAAGGTATGATAGTAACCTGTGAAGCTTTGGTACAATCTAAACAACCTAATAAGAATCTTCAGGTGATAGGACTCCTGCATGTACATTTTTAACAATCTTTCCAGGTGAGAGATTCAAAGAGTGTGGCCAGTTTCCAAAGATAGGTCTGGTTTCAGATAAGTGTCTTATGAGAGATACCCTTTGATAGCTATATTGTAGGATAATAACTATTTTATATTAACTAGTAGTTAATACTACTAGTATTAACTAGTAGCATAAGACAATAAAACAATTAAAGAATGATTTCCAACTTCATTAGGAAGAGTGAGTTAAAAAACTGTAAATACAACTGACTGTAGGAATAAGAGAGAGAAAAAAAGACATTCATTTACTTATGCATCAAATGTTTATTAAATTTTTACTGTAGGTCAAGCACTGTTCTAGACATTGAGGAGACAATGAAATATATAAATAGACAAATTTCCTGCCCATACCATGCTAAAAATACACAGGGGGACAAATGCTACTAGGCAAGCAATTATAAATGAAAAATGGCAATACTGTTTTGATAGGGAAAGTACAGATGGTTGAGGAAGCATATAGCAGGATCACCTAACTCAGAGTGGGAGTGTTCAGGGAAATTATCTCAAAGGAGGTGATGTCTAAGTTCATACCTAAATAAAAAGAAAGAATGGAAGGAATGGATGGAAGAAAAGACAGCTTTTATACTGGCGTGGAGGTGAGAGAGCATGGGCAAAGAATCTTAAGAAGCAAGGAAGAAGTGCTGACAAGTGTAATTTGAGAAGAGGGCAGGGATGCTTAGGATGCCCTTGTATTTTACATTAGAGTTAAGGCCCTTAACTTAAGGGTGGTAGAAAATGCTCACTTGGAATCTGCATTTCAAAAGAATCACTCAGATTTTCACTATAGAGGACAGAAGAGAAGAACTAAAACGGGAGGAAGAGTTGGAAGACAGCTGTAATAATGCAGGTTGGGAAAGGGTAAGGTGTGTGTTCAGGTCAAGACGGTAGGGAGAGAAAGAAGTGGAGGGACTAGAGTTGTTTTTTTTTTTTTTTATGGTGTGTTAGTTTCTGCTTTATAACAAAGTGAATCAGTTATACATATACATATGTTCCCATATCTCTTCCCTCTTGTGTCTCCCTCCCGCCCTCCCTATCCCACCCCTCTAGGTGGTCACAAAGCACGGAGCTGATCTCCCTGTGCTATGCAGCTGCTTCCCACTAGCTATCTATTTTACGTTTGGTAGTGTATATATATATATATATGTCCATGCCACTCTCTCACTTTGCCTAGAGTCTGTCATACAGAGTGAAGTAAGTCAGAAAGAGAAAAACAAATACTGTATGCTAACACATATATATGGAATCTAAGAAAAAAAAAAAGGGACTAGAGATTTTTGAGAAAAGATGATAAGTGGTTGGTGAGGGAGAAGGACTGAGTCAGGGAGGTTTCTCAGATGTTTGGCTTGGGCATCTGTGAGGAGAGAGTGCTTCCAGAGTGTGAGGTCATGGGAGGAGTCTTATCTAGAGCAGCAGTTCTCAAAGTGTGGTCCACAGCCCCCACAGGAGGGTCCCTGAGGTCCAGTTATTTTCATAATAAGAGGTTATTTGGCTTTTTTACTTTCATTCAATCACACATGTGCAGTGGAGTGTTCTAGGGGTTACAAGACATGGATGATGTCATGGCAGATTGAACGAGGAAGTAGATATGAAAATCCAACTACCTCCTATTAAACCAAATAGTAAAGAGACTTATGAGAATGCAAAACAAAGCCACTCTTCTTATTACATTTTTGTTTTAGAAAATATAGGTATTTTTCATTAAAATATGATATGTGAATAGATAATAGATTTGTTATTGCAATTATTAAATGAATTAATATTTTTAAATGTTATAATTTTATTACTAATACGGTAAATGTTTATAAGCATATTATAAATGCTTTTAGAGATCCTCAGTAATTATTAAGAGTGTAAAGTGCTACCAAAACCAAAATGCCTAAGAATTACTAAATTGGATTGTCTCTAAATTTTTCCTAGTTCTAAGTTTCTCTTATTCTCATTATGTTATTTATATAAATGCAGACCGATCTAATACCAACCTTGGATGAGTAAAGAAAAGAAAGCTACCCTTGGCTTACTTACCTCACAAGATTTTGAGCAACTCAAATGTAAATTTGGGGGATTTAGTCTATCAGAGTAGCAATAGCCTGAGTGTTGAATGTGAATCTCAGTTCAAAAATCTATGATATGTGGATCTTTATGAAGACATTGTATCTCTCTTAGATCTGTTTTATTCTCCTCTTCTCTATAATAGGGTAAAACCATCTATGAATTAATATATAAAACACCAGAAAAGGAACTGGCATATATTAGATTCTCAAAAAGTAGCAATTTTCATTGTTGTTATTTGGGTTAAGAAGGAAAGAATACAGTTATTTTTTAAATGTGCTGGTTACTAAATCTGTTCTTGGAAGTTATTTTGACACTCATATAGACTGAACACCTAACAACAACAAAATTTTAATCAAAATGTTGAGATTAACTCATTACCAAAGAAAAAGTAGCTATATAGTTATGGATTAGCCCAACAGTTCTGAATTGAAAAAGCTCAACTGACTCGAAAATAGAAATTTTCAGAAGTATAAAATCC